CAATAGGGTCTTCAAAGGCATTGCCTACTACCCTAAATATACTGAACTATTTGAGTGAGAATCCGAAACGTCAGGCTCATGAACTTCCTGTTTCAACGATCACAACTTTTTTTCCTTTGAAAGGTAAAGGCATCTTCACGGTAAACCAGCGCGGTCCTCACCATAATTAAAATGACTTAGTCGATTTTTTCACGACGCATTATTATTCGCGGTCTGGAGAGTTACTAAATGGCGTGGTAACCAGGTTCTCCCCAGGACTGACAATCAAGTTGCCAAAACTCCCTCCTAACGTGGTCTTCCTGGTATTCTCACCTATTTGAGATTCAAGGCCCATCGCAGCCTTGCATATATGGAGAAGGGACTAAAACGTGTGTGACAAGCATGAGCGAAGTGCTTAGTTTTATCGGCCAAGATGCGTACGCTTAGCCCCCCTCCCGTCTTGAACTTGTCTTGCCACCGGACCATATCGCGTAGGACGACAGAGTAAGGGGAATGCGGCAAAGTCTGCTTTACTACAAATTCAAGAGCAAGCAACCAATGCACCAACTACCTGGGAAGCAGTCAAGGTTGTCTTAAAACGCAGTCAACTGTTAGGTGATGAGAAAATGAGGAGATGGATAAATTGAAATTTAGCTCGCTAACAACAGAAGATTCTAACACCTATAAAACGCGGAAAAATTGCGTAGGGGGTGGGACATTTCTGCAATCTCAGAATGACTGTCGTCAGGTCAAAAGCAAAGCAAAATAGATGTTACAACAGCGAAAACCGCGGAAATTAAATAACGGAAAGAAATTATCAGCAGACATGGCTTGGTTTGTAGTTCAAACCGTCATGATCTAGGGTTTTTTAAACAGTGTTAATTGTAATTTCACTTGGTTAGATAAGCTGTCATACTTTGACGTTTTTAAGCATTTATAATTCAAACGAAGTCGTGAAAAAATGCTTAATAGCATGTACCATGAGTTCCAATCTAGATGAAACTGAAAAAAAAGATAGGTCAACTCACAGAACCGTAGAAGAGTTGAACACCATAACTTGAAAGTCGTCGAATTTCGTCTAGATAGTACCAGATAGCATGATCTTGACTGACACCACGTAACTGGCAGTAGCCCCATATTATATCGTCTACATGTTCCACGTTACAGAGTTCAGATGCACCCGTCAATGCTGACTGTAAGTGAAAACATGAGTGAACGCGAAGCGATAAGTTATAAAATATTTCAGGAGATTTTAATCAAAAGAAACGGCTGAATTCAAACTGCAAGTCTTTCTGAAACATGCAGATTGTATGGGAAAAAAAACAAGCGCACTTCACAATTACCAGAAGTTTTTGCTCTCAGCCTCTTGATGCACAGATTAAGGACAGCTCTAGAGTCCAAAATGTAGTTCTCGGGGAAGTTAGAATGAACAGAAATAAGCAATTTGCATTTAACAGTCCCTCCTTCCCACGAATTTCGAAATAATTCATTTGCTTGGGGCTCATTTGACGTCAAAATATGTACTAATAAATGTAAACTATTAAGACAATACTTACTAGCAGATGCCACTCCTTCCCCCCCCCGCTTCCCTGTGCCGCTAATAAGAGTAAACTGTAATAACCTCCTGGTTATGACATGGCTGAACACCCCCAACCCTTTTTCAAGTCAAAATTGTTTATCGCCTTTTTATGATAACGAACCTATAATACTGTACAGTCGTAAGGGGGACTTAGTGAAAACGAACTTTCGCCGACTTTGAATTCCCTAATATAGCATCGTGCACAGGGGATACTGCATTTTGGCACAATTTTGAGATGTGAGCCCCTAATGCAGAGACCCAAAAACAGTCAACCAAGCACCAAGGTGTAGTCAGTGATTGGTTCCAGGGTGCCTTGGACAGAATGTTTGTTTGTGTACCCTTTGGCGATATCTTGTTTATTCAGGCGCTTGCTTATCCAAATTATGCTTTTGGGAATGCCATTGGTCGTGGGGCTTTGCTTCCATGCTGGTTTTGGATTCTCGGTGTAAAAAACAGTTTCTCAACTTAGGACATTAATCCTAAAAGTGTCTATGCTGACAAATAGGACTGTAATTATGCCTTGGAAAGGTACTTATTTCGAAAGGACCGAGCATGCAAGTGAGATGACGTAAGCAGTCCTAAAGCTACGAAATAAGCGCCTGCAAGGCAGAGCCAAATTCTTACAAATAATACTTTAAAAAAGCGTCAGTCAGCCATCTCACTCATTGAGTAAATTTAAATCTAGAAATAGCATTCCTAAAAATGTAGTCTACATCTGCAGCAGTTGTTTTTTAGTAACACTTGACATACAACCATATATAAAAATGAAACGAGCAAACGGGAATCTAAAGTAAATATAAGGCGAGGGGGCACTTTTTACAAATTCAAAATGCCAACCAAAAAAGGGGAATTCCCAATTCACTTGGCACGGCTGGCAAGTATAACGATAAAAAAAGACCCACAAACGATTTCTGGCCGCCTTTTTTCGTTACTGCACCAGCTTGACGTCTTTGGTGCCACATTTTACATTTGCGCCGAGCGAATGGGAACAGGGTGTTAGCAGTCTACTTCGACGAGGTGCAGGACGGGCGTGTGAGTGTGACCTTTACTGTAAAAGTCAAAGCGACACCGTGTTGGCAGCGTCATACGTATGGATGGTGCTATTAAGTTCCTGACTGCACCCCAGGACGAGAGTGTTTTATTGTAAAGAGTTTGGTCTCCGCGACTATGTTGCGTACAAACACATAGGTAGTGAAGCAATATGTATTTTGGCAACCATTTCGAGGAGTATGGGTAGAGTAACTTATCGTCCGCAGGAAGTACTGACACGAAGTTCAACATCTGTCGTTTTGAAGGAAATCGACCAATTTAAAACGCTATATGTGAAAGATGTGAATATATTGGCTTGGTACGGAGAAGTGTGTAGAAGTAAGTGCAGAAACAATACACCACCAAACAAGGAGAACCTCCCCCCCGCCCAGATCATTTGCACTTATCACAGCTGGGTTTCTTAGTAAAAAATTTCCAGTAGATAAAACGACTCGGAAAATTGCGTAGGTTGGAGAAAATCCGAGCGGCCTATAGAGTAGGAAAAATCATGCAGTTTACTTATTTATAACAATCAATTACTTAAAAGCTCGAAAGCAATTCCGTAAACTACAAAACTCAGATTAATTTCTAGTTGTGGCTTTGTAATACATTTGCTTAAGTCCATAGGAGATCTCTGAAATAGATAGAAAAGAAACTTAAACTTACATTATGCTACCAGATTGCAACCTATGAACACATTCAGCGTCGTGCTAGACGTAAAACTATGTTTGTGAAACTGTGACAAAAGGATCGTCACTTAACGATTCTAAGTCTACAAAAAGGAGACAGAATGTCCCTGTGAGTGCATCAAACGGAAGAGAACTATTAACAGTCTATAAGCGAGTCACTATTGCGCGAAATACGCGTATGGATGCCCAATTTGCGAGTATTACGTGGGACTGCCAGACGGAGTTGGTCCTGAGTTGATAGATAGTCGGCTGACGGGGGGAAATAAGCAAAAAGTAGCTATCATAGTCCCAATTATTTGTCGACAACAACCTCATATAAAGTGTTACCCACCTGGTAGTTAAGATACGACTGTACATATTCGTGTGTAATGCCTAAAAAGAATCAGGTGCATGTGGGTACGGAGAAGTAAAAATAGCACAGTGTAGATATGTTTACTACCCCCGGACGCGTCCGAGTGAACAACTGGAACACAAAGCCCACAAAAACAAAAGTCTGGGAAAACCTAAAAAACTAGAAGAACGAGGTTCCACAACTGTCTTGTCCAAACCCTCAAATAATCAGAAAATAAATATTACTCAACGAAAAAGAATGACCGGAATAAGCGCAAAAGCATTACCTCGGCAACTGCTGGTCGCTCGCGCCAAAGCATAGCCGTTGTCTCAAAATCTACGTAATCTCCGTGATCAGCTAGAGCATAGATAAAAAAGGGTTCTAGTGAAAATGTATCGTAAAATCGTTTTAAATAAAAGAGCTGAGAAAATTCAGATATATTACTGTAAGAATGAAACATTAAATGAAACCAAAATTCCAACAAATGTGGGCTTGTAAGGAGAAGCACGTGTTTTTGGAAGAAGTAGTATTGACAAACTGGAGTTTGCGACCATTAAAGCCAAACCATGTTAATTTAATGGAGTGGTAGTTTAGGGACGCGTATTTTCTGGAACTATAACTAGAGAATTTAAATATTGGCAAATACTGCGTGAACAAGCAAACGAAAACTAATACGATTTGGATCCTATTTGATTCATACGGTGAGAAACCGACTTTCAGAGACAAACAAAGCAAAAAGTCCGAAAAGTATTTTCTACCCTGCAGACTGTATGCGGTCAGTTTGATAGCCTGCTTCGATGTTAACTTGAGTTGGCCGGTTGCGACATCCTGACGCAACTGGAGGTAAAAATAGCGTCTAAAATAAAACAAAATACTAAATAAACATTTTTAAAAAGGTGTGGTTTATATATTTGAAATATCGGTGATGGAGACGCATATATACAAATATCGAAAAACGAATGAAAATGAAGTTTTTCTATCCTTTTGTTTATCCAAAAATGGTTTCCTCGACTTCGGGTATTCCATTTGACTGAACACTCGAAGAACATAATATAAACGGAGGATATAGTGGTTTAAAAAGAGCAGGTTAAGCAACGCAGGCATGAGTTGTTTTAAGATACGTTTGTTATTTAACTTATTGTTCTACAAACATGGAACTTCACAACAGTCGAAAGTGCGTAAAAGGAAATACGAAATTCCTTCCTTATACCTTATACAGAAGTCTACAGCGAAGTGCTGCTTCCGTCCAAAACGCATAGAACAATGACTACGGTTATGGTTACCAGGGTTATTGAGCGTCATTCTGTTCGGGGCAATTTGTATCATTCACCCACGAGAAACAAATTGACTGAAACCTGGATAGGCTCAATGGCTTGGGTACCTCGCAATTTTAACAATGCTGCCGTTAAAATACTATGCTGGTACGTTAACCATACAAGTACAGACTGGATTAAACAAAGCAAACAGTTAAGGTCCTACTGATTTATGTATTTGGGGCGATTCAAAACTAGAAAATATTCTACAGGTACAAAATGAAAACAAAAAAGACGCAAAATTTAAACAGAAAATATAGTCTCTTTATAAACCAACCTTAGTCGTGCACTCGGTAGATACTGCGGGTTGTCTATAAACAGCATAATGCACAGGACCAGTGCATGTTGCCGTGCATACTTATCCAGCTGTTTCTTCACCGGTTTATTTAGAAAGAGCCACCTCTGATTGTCACTCCAAGCCTCAAACCGGAAGCCAAAGAAGCATGTCTTTAACTAATAAAAGACGTAAGTATACTTACGTCTTCGATATCTAGACGTTGTGCAACATATTCTAATGCATCACGACCAGTCGTGGTGGGGGAAACAGTGTATTCCACGCATGTGTTATCAAGAGAGTATATGGGTATCACATACAAATCTTTAGCAGATACATTATACCTATGTGTGCGCTTAAAATTCAACCTAATCGGCATAGCGCATCCAGAACCGATCAACTGCCGGACATATCGGCGAGCGG